CCCCAAAACCCCAAAACCCCAAAACCCCAAAACCCCAGCATCTGTGACAGCTATTGAAACTTAAGAATTTACCAATCAATTGAAATATCCACATGACCTAGTCCACAGTTCTCCAAGATCTCCTTTATTTCTTTCTTCTTCATTCCACAGCCATGCATCCACACCTTCTCCAAGTTTTCTCTGACGGCGTCGACCTGTGCAAGCCCAGCCATCAAGTTGCTGAAGCACAAATTGTCTTTCCTCCAGTCTCCATGGGCGCTATCTCCTGAGGACCAGAAATCTAATTTCCGAATGATGGAGTTCTCCATGGAGTCAGGGAAGGAAGGTACAGAGGGCATTTGCAGAATGCAGGATTCGAAGCCAAAGATTGTGACCTTGTGAAAGGCAGCGAGGAGGGCGACGGTCTGGGGCTGGGAGATCTTAAAATTATAAAGACCAACCAGCCTTGTCACACAAGGAGCAGCAGCCAGCAATGCAGAGTAGTACAGGTCAATGCTTCCCAGAGCAGAATCAATATTAAAGCAAAACCCCCTTACTTTTTTGGGGAAATACTTGGCAATACAATGCCTTGCCTCCTCTTGACTCTCTCTAGGAATATTCCTAATCTCCAACCATTCTAAATCAGGAAGTCTTTTGTCAAGCCCCTTGATCACGTCCATATCTCCTGGACTGTCCATTCATAGTCTGAGCTCAGCAACTGGTCTAAAAGGCTGCTGTCAGCCCTGTTGAAGCCAATAGAAGTAGTCGAATTCAGCTGAAGAAAAGGCGAGTCTGTCCAGAATGGGTTTGAGCTGGGCGGGCGTGTATTTTAGAGGAGAAGTTTGGCTTGAACAAGTGTGGAAATTAGCCATGACTTCTTCTTTTAGTAGTTTCCAATAGGATTCGTCTTTAAGCTCCGAAAAAATATCTTGCTTACTCATCGCCTTCTTAAGCAGGTTGATTTCTTTATCAAGATCTTTAAATTTGTGGTGTTTTCCTTCCTCTTCAATGTCTATGGCCCTAAGTTTAAGCAGCACTAGTTTCTGTTCCCAGCGTTGATGCAACTCTTGGATATCTCCTTCATATCTTTGGCAATCTTGGGTGTATGTAAAGAAGTTCTGCAGTGCCTTTGAAACTATTATAGCCTTAATTTTGAAGCTCCTCACAGTAGGCTTTGTCTGGCCTTCATTCTCCAATGATTTTAGATCGAATGGGTCCTCTTGGTAAGGTTCTTTTGAATCTTCAGCACCTCCAGCAGCACCAGAAGATAAATATTTGGATGCGATATTTTGATTGCTTTCCATATTTAATAATTATTAAAATATCGCAACCAATATATAATCATTTCAACCCATGAATCACTCCGTGGGGTTTTGGGGTTTTGGGGTTTTGGGG